GAACTTTTTTTCTTGCATGACTGACATTCTGTACCCATTGAATAGTAAATTCCCCATTTCCCCCTCCCCTCAGTCTCTAGTAACCACTGTTCTACTTTCTGCTTTTCTTTCTTTATTCTTTTTTTTAGATTTTATTTATTTATCTTTAGAGAGAAGGGAAGAAGAGAGGGAGAGAAATATCAATATATGGTTGCCTCTCATGTGTCCCCTGCTGGGAACTGGCCTGCAACCCAGGCATGTGCCCTGACTGGGAATCGAACTGGGATCGTTTGGCTCCTAGGCCCAGGCTCATTCCACTGAGCTACACCAGCCAGGGCTACTTTCTGCTTTTTTGATTTTGACTACTTTAGATACCTGATATATGTGGAATCATGCAGTTTTGTCTTTCTGTGACTGGCTTATTTTACTTAGTATAACATCCTCAAGATTGATTTTTTAAAATGTTCACCCAAAGGTATGTTTACTGACTTTTAGAGTGAGAGAGGGGGAGAGAGAGGTAGGGAGGGAGAGAGAGAAACATCAAGGTGAGAGAGAACCATCTATCAGTTGCCTCTCATATATGCTTGGAGTAGGGATAGAACAGAAAGCCAGGTATGTGACCTGACTAGGAGTTGAACCTGCACCCTTTTGGTGTACAGGATGACACTCCAAACAACCAAGACACTGCCCATGGCAAGATTGGTTTTTAAATGTTAAACAAACATTGAATTCCTGAAATACACCCCCCTTGGTCATGATGTATTATTAGCTAATGAAAAGTGGGCACACCAACCCTCCAATCTGACCCACAGTCCCCCTCCTCATCCTATCAACAGAATGTGTGGGGTAAGATAACATTCCTTAATTAACTAAGTACTTCCTACTCCTCTGTTCCTCCTCTCCAATTGGGATCCCCTTACATTCTGAACTTTGTCACAGTTCAGGACTGTTCCTCTCTAATGTCCCATTATCTGACCACCATTGCTTACCCTTCTTGTTCCTTCTTTTCCTATTTTATCTTCAAATGAACCAGACTTTGGTTGTCTAAGCTTCTTCTTTCTCAGTCTTTCTAGCAGCCTTTGCTAATGTCACCTCATTCTCTCAGCATTCTACTTTGCATGGTCCACAACCACAACTCAACTCCATTTTTATCATTCCTTTGCTCACATCTGTTTTAGAACACCCAGTTTGGAGTCAGTCTCCCCCTTTGCCTCCTCTCTTCTGCTACCCAGGTGCTGATTCCTGATGGGTGATATTGTACCACAGCCTGAGACTGGCCTCTGACTGTTACTTGACTCCATTTCTCTCTGAACTCTCCAACACTCCAAGCTGTTTCCTTCCATTTTCACTTTCATTTTCCAGGTATGACACACATGTTGGCACTGGACACGCCAACTCCTCAGCAAAACTGGTCTCTGTGTGGGGAAGAAGAAAAAAAAACCTGGTCTCCATTAGTTCAGAGAGGGACCGGGCACGTGGTCGGACATAGTTTGGTGCCTGTCACAAAATTCCCTTCCAACACTCTTGGCTCTAAACTCCTTTTCTTTTTTATTAAGATTTTTTGTAAAGATTCTATTTATTTTTAGATAGAGGGGAAGGGAGAGAGAAAGAGAGGGAGAGAAACATCGACTGATCACCTCTTGCACACCCTCAAATGGGAACCTGGTCGACAACCCAGTTGTGAATTAGACCCACGATCTTTTGGTTCGCAGGCTGGTGTTCAACCCACTGAGTCACACCTGCTAAGGCTAAACTGCTTTTCATCAAGCTTGTTTCTGTCCTCCTGACACGATGGCAGTTCTACACTGTAGTTTTGCTCACATGCATCATGGCCTGGAATCTCTCTACCTGTTTCACTTGCTTGAGTACTAGGTGTTGACATTCATTCAGATGTTACCTCTAATGTTGTATCTCTGGTCACCTTTCCTCCGTAGAAAGTTACCCCTCTCTTCTTGGGTTATACACATATGTCATTGCACATCTTCAGCATCTGCAGTTTCTTTTTTATTCTTTTTGTCTTCACTTCTAAAGTGTGAGCATTGAAGGGAGATAAATATTAATAAAGTTTTCCTGCCAAAGGTTCACCATGAAGCACACTGGGTGGTACTCACTGGGTTCTCCTTAAATTTTGTTCATTGAACAAATGGTCCAGCTCTCAGCTCAAAACAGCCAAGGCAGCTGAGGTACAGAGTCATAGAGGTCAGTGAGAGAGTGGCTCAGAATAAATGGAAAATGCTTGAGAGATGGCTCCAAGTGATTGATCTGGGTACGTAGTCCAAGGTGACAGAGGGCTTTGGGTTATGGGCTTGGAAGATTTTTGTAGAACTTCTGGTGGTGGTGAGTGACGAGGGAGATGCTAGAGTGTGACTGGGCCATTCACCATAATGGTTGGGAATGCTGATGTCTTTGACAGCAAACAGGGCTGCTCTGAAGTTGGACCCTGGGATCTGGGCTTGGTGTCCTGAGGCTCATCACCTTCTTGTTCCTTAAACATCCAGTGCACAACCACGGCCTGCTGGGGGGCCCTTTCCATCCACTTTGCCAGCCAGGTGGCTGATCCCTAGGGGAACATGAGGTCAGAGGTCAAAATCCCTCATCACCTGAGCTGGAAACCATCCAAAAGAAAAACAAGAAGAAGAAGAGCATGTGGTATGTGAAACAATCACAGAAAATTGTGTCACATCCACACAAAGGAATACTATATGACAATGAACATGGTACGACATGGAGATAGCTTATACACTTAATAGTGAGCAAAAGAAGGCAGACACAAAGAATATGTGGACTATGTTCACCTTCAAGTAAAATTTGAAAGTCAACAAACTACAGTGTTCAGAATGTATGCTTAGGTGATAACACACACGGCAAATAAAGAGAGAGCCTTATCATGAAGTGCAGACAGTGGGTATGAGGAAGAGAAAAAGGGCACAGGACTGGGGGGCACCGACGACGATGTTTATCTATGGACCCAGGTGATGGTCACTGGTTTTAGAGATGATTCTCTGGACTGTACATTGTGCTTCCTTGTACTTTTCTGTATGATTGATCTATATGTCAAATAGAGAACAGAGATAGAACATGGACCAAAATAATTATTTTTAATTAACTGATTGATTCTTTTCAGAAGGGTCAGGAGGGGGGAGGAGAGGGAGACAGTGATGTGAGGAGAAGCATCAATTGGTCAGCACTGGCACACACCCCGACTAGGGGCTGATCCCAGGCACGTGCGCTGCCCCAGAACCAAACTGGTGAAATTTTGCTTTGTGGGAGGACACAAAGCAACCCGCTGAGCCACACCTGTCAGGCCCAAAATCATTACTTACATGTGTGAAAATGCATAAAAATAAACAGAAAAAACGCATTGCTTTAGTGGCGGGGATTGAACACTGACATTAAAGGAAAATAAATGGACAGGGGGCTTACAGAAAATCAATGATGTTTGTATTCCAGGAGCCGAGGGTTATAAATAGCTCACACTCTCAAGCTGAGACCGAGGTTGCACAAAGAAAAACTTAAATATAAAAATTAAAAACTAATTTTAAGTATTTTGACATTGTTCAAATTCAAAAGCTACACCAGGGCGCACATGGGATTGAAGCCTCAGTTTCCCAGCCCCGAGGCTCCCCCCCATCCAGGCTTCCTGTGTGTCCTTCCCAGGGGGCTTGTCTTCGGGGTGAGATTAATACATGAGTGGACCAGAGGGGTCTGTTGCTGGTGCACATGTGGACAAGACTGGGGACAGAAAGGCCAGGGTGCAGTACAGAAGCTCAGTGGGGGCCCGGGCCCTGGGGCCCAGGCCTGAGCAGTCCCTTCACCTCATGGGAGGGTGGTGTAAGGGAGCAGAGAGCAGGAACAAGAGCTCCTCAGTGAGTAAGCAGGGCAGGTCCCCAGGCCTCATCCTGATCCTCAAGCTCCTGTTTCCTGCACTTGGGCCAGACTTCCCACAGCAGGTTGGGACACAGAAGACCCCAGGGCATGGCCACTGACTCCTGAGCAGGCTGTTTTGCATAGAGGAAGGCAGAACATCACTGGAGACCTCAGAGGAAGTCAGCATCGTGGGTGGGGAGGCGACTTTACCCAATCTGCTTCCTGAAGGTTCATTCCATGGTGGTCAGCACCACCGAATCTAGACAGTGACTTCCTTGGTGGGCCCAGGCAGCCCCTGGAACTGCTAAGTGAAGTTCAAGAGTATGGGGCTAACATCAGGACTCAGAGCTCTGACCTCGTGTCCTCCCTCACCAGCAGGCGATGTGCTGAGCAGCTATTCTATGTTCCCTGGTCTGTCACTGTGGGTCAGGACGCCTGTTTGCCCCCCAGGGCTCCAGTGAGGACCCAATGTGAAGATAGGAGTGTGGTGACCCTGCCTCCCTCCCCAGGACTCTGACTTCACAGGCCCTACAGCGACCCCAGATGTTTAGTAGGAGTGGGTTAGGAGTGGGGTTTTGAATCAGGCTTCTCTGGGATCACGTCTTGACCTTGCTCTCTACTGACCTCGTGCACACGGGAAGTTTGCTTACCTCTCAACCCCTCGATTTTCCCTCCTCGACATGAGGGTGACAGGCCATCTCATAAGGTTATGAAGGCACAGCAGGTGTGCTGATGCCTGGCACAGCAAAGGGCTCATGACCCAGTGGAAAGAGTATGGTTAGCTGTGAGGACAAACGTGAGATGGACTGGCTGATGAGCAGACACAGACCACGCTGCCTTTCAAAGTCCCTTCCTCTCTGTATCCAGAAACCCATTTTCTCTACCAAATCACCTGTCTTGTTACAACAAATGCCACTGTCCCCCACCCCCAGATCAACATAGCAACAGACAAAGGCTCCTGTCCCTTGGGAGTTGCCTGGGATTTTACCAGGAAATGCTGAACACTCACTCCTAGGTGAGTCTCACCCACCCGAGTGGAGCAATGGTCCGGGAAGCAGGCAGTGAATGTGGCCCCAGGGCTCCCAGCCCCAGGAGGAGGCAGACTGAGCCTTATAAAGGGACCTGACTTTGCCCAGATGCACAGCACACGCATCCTCCTCCTCAGTGACACTTCCTCATCAGCTCAGGTAAGTCTGCAGCCGACTCTGCCAGGAGAGCTCTGAGGCCCAGCATGCTCTGCGTTGTGCAGCAGCAGGGAAAGCAGTGATGGGAGAGGATTTGGGAGCCTGGGTCCAGTCTCAGTGCTGCCTCCAGCAGGGCTGCGTGACTTCCTCCCACTGAGGTCCTGAGGTCCCCATCCACAACAAGACTGCTGAACCTGGTGCTCCCCATTGCTCCCTTCCCTCCTCTGGGACAACTCCTGTGGAAACATCCCTGGCGGGAGATGCAGGAATGGCCCTCCCTCCCTCTCTCTCCTCCTCATCTTCTTTTCTCTCTGAACTCACCTGACTCTCAGGCCCTGGGTTGGTAAAAACCCACTGTGCACCCCAACCTTGGGGGAGAGTGGGTGTTCCTGCCAGAGTCTTTCAGGGTCTCCTGAGCCCAGGTCTGGGAGGCCCACTCACCTCACCCTGGTGAGAAGACCTGCCCTGGATCAGGGGCAGAAGAACCAGAGCTTCCTGACCTCCTTCCCAGCTGAGGGAATGACCAGTGACCTTCTGGGCATGGGGATGGTGAGGACCAACTTTGGTGAAGTTGACAGAGGTCTTGGGTGGTTCCTCTTAGTGACCTAACAGCAAGGATCTTCTCCCAGATGAGGAGGTGATGGTGGTTTGTGTAGGATGCCCACATGTGTGAGCCGTGCACATTGCCTGGGTGCTTTGGAAAGTCTGGGACCTGAGGGCAGCACTGCCTCATTTCTCAGCTTGGGATCCAGACTGTTGGTGGAGGTACCAGCTTTGGGAAGCGAAACCTCTTTACTTAAAGGTGGCCTAACCTTTGAGTTCCAGAGAGCAGGGAGGTGCCAAGGTCAGACAGTTCCCAATTACAGAAAATCTGAAGGAACCTATCTCTCCACATCCCACTGAATAGCCTAAATCTGGGGCAGGTGTTTTTGTTTATTTCAAATCTGATGCCAGCTCTGGTCCCCAGTCCCTCTTTTTCTCGGTGAGAATGGTCCAGGAAAACGTCTGCCAGAGGTCAGAACAAGGCACTGTGTGTCTCTGCTCACACTCGCCATTCTGCTCACACTCACCATCCTGCTCACACTCACCTCCAGGAGCCCCACAGTCCATTTCATGTAGGGCTTGCTTCATGTCTATAACGGGCTCCTTGGGGGTCTCGTTCCAAGAGCAGCCTGGGGGGTGGGGTCCGACCAGATTGGCAAGGATGTGATTTTGTCCCCACAACTCTAAACCTGATGTTGACCCTGGAGGAGATGGATTTGAAGTTCTTCAATGAGTGGGGTCATCGAAACGCTGTGTTTGGCTTGGGTCCTTCTCAGTGTGGTTGACCCCTACCCTCTCTGAATCCTGGGATACTGTCCACAGTGGGCTTCCCTGTTCCCCTCCACCTCCTCTGGACCCTGATCTCCGTGGGCCCAGGTCCCAGCCTTGGTTTCACTCTTGGTTTCCTAAAGTGACATCTCATCCCACCTCCCAGGGTGACACAGTTCCTTCTGCACCTCCTGAGTCTCACTTCACTGGAACCTCGGTCCCCACCCCATTGTCCTAACCTAGAGACCTTCTCCCGGGGGAAGGATAACAAAGCCACTGTCTTTCTCTCTGGCAGCTCCTTTGAAAACCAAGATGAGCCACACTGAAGCTGAGAAGTCCGTGATGGGCATGATCGACCTGTTCCACAAATACGTCAAACCCGATGACACAATCGACAAGCCGGGCCTGCTCACGATGCTGAAGGAGAATTTCCCCAACTTCCTCGAGGCCTCTGTGAGTCGGGGCAGCTTCTCGAGGTCGCGTGGGCCCTGGCATGGCCGAGGGCACTTTGCTGTGAGGCTTTGGGCCCGTCACTTCCATTGTTTCATCCCCAAATGGCTGAAAAGGACCTTATATCCTGGCTCATTATCAGGATGTAAGAGATTATCTACGTGGCAAAGTGGAAAGATGCATGGATATCAAGGGGGGTGATCAGGTGGTCAGACAGGAGAGCAATGAGTGGCCCCCCTCCCACTGGTCACTCTCTGTCCAGGAGACTGGAGCCACGTGCTCAGGCCCGGCCTCTAGACGCCTCTGTTAGGTCCTCTGAGATCCAAGGCGAGAAACAGAAGTCCCATCGCTCGAAAAATTTAACACCTTTCTTTACAGAGCGAAAGCTCATCCGCAGCCCTGGTTTAATGGGACAGTTAGAATGTGCGGAACTGGGTACAAAAGGGCGCTACTAGGTGACACAGAGACTAGGCGGCCAAAGAGGGAACTGCGTGTGGAAGGCTCTGGAGGCCAAACTGATGACAGGAGAGGAGGCTTGAGAATGAAGAAGACAAGGCCCAGGGCCTTTTTTAAGTTGCTGGGTAGAACTTAGGGTGGATCAGGTCCTTGAGGTGGGTGGGGGAGTGGGTCTGGGTCTGGAGACCACCCACCCACCAGCTCACTGGTCGGTGCGGCTCTGGGCAGGGCCTGCTCAGCACCAGCAGCTCTCTGGTTCATGGTGACAAGGAACCTCCCTCAGGGGACTGCAGGGTGACGTGCCCGCCACCCCCATTTAGCCTCCCCTCATCTGCACCAGCTGCACCTGTGCGGCCCCAGGGCCTCTCTCCCTGTGTCTGCCTCCATCTCCTGTTCCACCCACAACACTTTGGGGACTAAATCAGCCTTCTTTTGTGTCCTTCCCACAGGACAATCAGGGCAAAGACTACTTGTCCCACATCTTTGAGGAAAAAGACAAGAATGAGGATAAGAAGATTCAGTTCTCTGAGTTTCTGTCCTTGGTGGGGGACATAGCCACGGAATACCACAATCAGAGCCACAAAGTGACCGCCAGTTCTGGGGGACACCAGTGAGCCCCGCCCAGCCCCAGGCCTCCAGAGACCCCCACAAACAATAAAGTGTCTCCTTCTCCCAGATACGGCCTTTTCCTGCTTTTCTTTGGCTACTTATGCTGTCAAAACTGCCACTTCTTGGTGATCTCATTGTGGACTCTTCATGGGTTGCACTGGCCCTTAAAAGGTGCCGGCGGGGAGCCCTCCTCTGGCCTTCAGCCTCACTGGCCACCCCTCTCAGCAGGGCCTTAGGACCACCTGTGCCCATACTCCCTAGTGTAGCCAACATGCCCGGCCCGAGAGGTGCGCAGTACAGAGCATTCTGTGGGGCCCCGGCCAAGCTTTTCCTCCTCAAGTGTGGATCCGCCCTGGGCGGTCGTGGAACTGCAGTGAGCAGGAGCCGAGGTCTGAGCCACGGGTGCCCCATGACCACCCGCTCCTGCCCAGCATGACCCTGAGGGCACAGAGGTGATGGCACCACTGAAACAGGGGTTCCATGGAGGGCATCAGGGACATGTGGGCACTTGTCACTGTGAACAGGACGCTCAGCTCTGCCCAGAGGACTGGATCCCTTGTCCTGTGCTGGGCTCCTGGGCTGCATCCTGTCCTGAGCACCTGTGTGTGTTCTAGCCTGTGGGTGTCCCTGTGGAGGGGAGAGAGCCACCCTGGCTGCTGAGCTCATCCTCCAGATGGTTTGCTAAATGCCGGGAGGTGGGTGTCTGGGGAAAGTCACCTGGTGATCGGATCCCAGGAATGAGGAGCTTGAGTGAGTCCTGGAGTCCAGAAACCCTCTGGGCACCTGGTGAGAAGACAGGACTAGAGGGGAGCAGGGAAGAGAGGGCACTAAGGGATGAGCAGAGAGCTCATGCTCAGTGTGATAAATGACAGTCCCCTTTATCTGCCATAGAGAGGGGCATGTCATCTCCCTCGGGCTCTTCCAGATCAGAAAAGGTGTTCGGAGCTGAGGATTTCAGAAACAAGCAGGACAGAGGGGCTGTCTGAGCAGCCCGCTGGCTGTCCCCACAGATGGGGTCTCTCCATGGTGCCTGGAGGCCGGTCAGCACTCACCTGTATTTCCAGGGCCACCCCTGGGCATGTCCCTGAAGCTTCAGCAGCTCCCCTCCTGGGGGCCCCCATCGTCTGCTGTCACTCCCTGCCTCCTACTCACAGCCTCCTACCAACCCTCAGTCAGGCCAGTGTTCTTCAGGGAGGAATTAGGCAACTTCTCCAAAATCTCCTCTGTCCCACCTGCAGGAAACTTGGAGCAGGAGAGTCATTTGTCCATGTGGATGGTACGTCCACCTGCTACTGCCACCATTCTGTTAGCACCTGGGCTCCGAGACCATCACCCCCCACCCCTGCAGGAAAGTCCTATCCTGACCGCACTCTGCGGCTTGTCATCACTTAGGTCGTGTCTGAGCTTTTCGTCTCCTGCGTCTCACTCTCTGGTTCCTGCTGTCTGTCCCCTCTCCCTCCTCCTCATTCCACCTGCTCTCAAACGGGGAGACCTGCTCCCTGGTGCCTTTTCACTGTCTCTCCTGTCAGGACCCTGCTCAGTCTCTGTGCAGCCTGCGCCCCATGATCTGCCACAGCAGCTGCTCTCTGCTGGCCAGGATCTCTGGTGCTGACTTTCCTCTGGGCCCCCCCTGCCCCCTCCCCCATCCCTCTCCCAGCCTCCCACTGTCTCCTCTCCTCCTGCACCAGGACGCTGGTCACTGTCAGGGCTCCCAGAGCTGGTGCCTCACTTCCTCTGCTCAGCCTTTCCTGTACCCATCCTGGGAACCCAGTTCCTGAAGGTCCCGGTACTTGCAACCCCACCCCAACATACTTCATTGTTTCCCAGTTCAATTCCATTTTTGTAATTCCTCCCTCTGCCTGAAATGCCTTTCGATGCCTTGTCTGCCTGGTTCCTGTCATATAACTCAACAGAGTATAAATGTCAACTTCTCGTCAGTGACTCTCTTTGGAGAGGGACACACAAAACTTCTCCACAAATGAATGTCCTCTTCCTCCTTTATGCTGCCTGTCACTTGTATTACAGGAGCCTCATCATGTCATTGTCCCACACAGGTGTATCTCATCCAGACTGTGGAAGGAAAACACTTATTTAGCATCACTGATTTCTAGTGCCTGGCAATTCCAACTCATAGTACTTACTCTACCATCACTTCTTTTCATTAAAATATATTTGTTCAAATTCTGGTCCATCCCATCCAATGTCAACAACCACAAAACATGTAAAAAATCTCCAGTTTCCAGGTCAGCTCTGAAATGCAGGAAAGGACCCCGGAAAGTGGGGCCAGGCTAAAGAGTGGAACTTGAAATAGCAAACAGCTGCTGTTGAGACCACAGTCCTGATCTTCCAACATAAGGAGACGCTGCACGCAAGGTGTCGGCTGCACCTCCACACCCATCGCTGGTATGTGCCAGTCCATGAGCAGGCCGTGGCCCCTGAGGTACACCTGCCTTCCCTTATTTCCCGAACCTTCATTTACTCTCACATTGCTTCCTTCAGTTGCCATGGTATGTTAAAAAATCAGGATGAAGAGGGTACTCGTCTTCTGGTTGGGTTGAGGAGTAACACCCTAAAGGGATCCTTGTGAGGGATCCCGAGATGGGCTCACGTTCTCCATGCTATGGCACAACGGCCAGTTGAGGGACTCCTCACACTCTGTTAGAATTTGCTCTTTCTGTGCCCGTGTCAGCCCAGAGAGGTCATCTTCTTGAGGGCAGGGACCATGTGTCTGGTCCGAAGTTAATCCCCACTTGTCCTGAGATAGCCTCACTTGTTCCACCACAGGGTGCCATGGAAGGGTGTCAGCCCCTCCCCTCTGGGGTGGGTTAGAGCGCTGGAGAGGACTGACGGAAAGGGAGAAGCGGGGCCACCTCCACAACCTTGCTCAGCGTTGGTGTGAGAAGAAATCACCGAGGCTCTGGTGACACTGAAGAGCCTCAGGAAAAAGCCACAGCTGAATGAGTCAGTGCTCAGGGCTAAGGTCTGAGAGAGGCTCTGACACCAGAGGTGACTTGGAAGAGAAGTGTGTGGACCCAGGACCTGGAACATTCTCTCTCCCCTCTTCCTGTGTAAACAGAGGTGATGCCTAGAATGGAGCTTGGTGTGAGTGGAACATGGTGGCGTTTCTGTCACCCTGTGCATGTTGCAGGAACTATTTGCTGCTTGTCGAATCCTACAACATTCTGCAAAGTGGAAGCCAAGGGTTGTTTGGGGAGGAATCTCAAGACCATGTTTGCCCATGTGCTGGTGAGAGATGAAGTTAAATGAAATGTGGATACCAAAGGAACGTCCTGACACAAAATGTCCTGTGCAAATCCACATCGGTCAACTCACCCAGAGTCCCATTGTCCTGAGTCTCAAGGGCTTCACATCTATACAGCTAGATGGCTCGTCAGAGACAAGCTAGACCCAACCTGTAACTTAGGGTAACACAACCAAGGCCCAGGAAAGACTGATTGCTCGACACTGTGAAGGGTTTTGATGACAGAGTGGTGACTACGATGCAGGTTCCCTGGTTCTTGGTGAACACTCATGCTGGTTCCAGGCCGTGGAAATTGCTAGACTGTCTGCATTTATTTCCTCACCTTTACATATCTCATGAGTGATATCACCTTGTTACACCTGATGAGCACCTTGACACCTGTCATCTCATGTGATAATGTTGAGGATCCTCCAGGGAAAGGTTCTTACTCCTGCATGACACTCTGGGAAACCAAGAAATGAGGAAGCGAGTGCTTTCCCTGAGTCATGCTGAGAGTTATGGTGGAGCTGGCACTGGAAGTTGGGACTCCTGACCCTGAGTCAGGAGACTAAGTGTTAATCACACTTTCTTACAATTTCTTGTTTCATTCAACCAATGAGTGGGAGTCTGTCACGCACCAGGACTGTCAGATCCTGTCCTGGCCCTCAGGCAATTCCTTGCCTGGCTGTGGAGAAGAATACATAAATATTATCAGAACAATGTGGAAGTTAAAAAATAGTGATAAAAAACTGTTATGGAATTGTGTAAGAAGCAATAAATACCACTTGGGAGATTACAGAACCTAACAGAACATGTGGCCTTCAATTAAGTATTATATTCTATTAAAAGTGAACAACTATAAAGGTAGGTTTAAGTAAGAGTCCTTCTACAACTGGTCAGGATCCTGATAAGGGCCCATGTTCATTCTGCTCTGGGAACACTTGTAAATCTATTACAAGAAAGGATCCAGCCAGGACTGTGATGTCTTCTGTAGTATCTTCTTTTGCAGTTAAGAGAAAAAATATTGGACTTCAGGTCAAGGCTGCAGCATAGGTAAACATGACTCACCTCCTTGCACAACCACATCAATATAACAACTAAACTATAGGACAACCATCACTCAGAACTATCAGAAATCGAGGTGAATGGAAGTCTGACAACTTAATCCCTTCACATTTTCACCTATTACCCCAATGTCCCCTCCCATCTGGCTGCCATCAGACCATTCCAAATCACTGATTTGATTCTCGGCTCCATGCCCTCTACTGTTGATCCCTGTAAATTGTTCTTCGTTTCAGTGAGCATCTCCTTCATTTCTGACTGGGTCTTTTTTATGGTTTCCATGCCCTTTCCTATGCTGTTGAAATTCTCACTAAGTTCACTGAGCATCCTCATAGCCAGTGGTTTGAACTCTGCATCTAGCAGACCAATTGTCCCCATTTTGTTTAGTTGTCCCTCCAGAGTTTGGCTCCATTCTTTCATCTGGGCCATGCTTCTTTGTCTCCTCACTTTGGCAGCCTCCCTGTGTTTATTTTCACATACTAGGTAGAGTTGCTATGACTCCTTGGCTTGGTAGAGTGGCCTAATGTAGTAAGTGACTCATAGGGTCCAGTGACACATCCTTCCCTATCACCAAAGATGGGCACTGGAGGTGCACCTGCTGTGTGGGCTGTGGACACCCCCTCCTGCAACCGAGCCTTGATTGCTCTTGGCAGATCAATGGGAAGGATTTACCCTGGCCAGTGAGCTGCAAGGACTGGTTCT